ACACGTGTGGATCAGAACACGTGTGGATCAGAACACGTGTGGATCAGGACACGTGTGGATCAGGACACGTGTGGACCAGGACACGTGTGGACCAGGACACCTGCGGACCAGGACACCTGCGGACCAGGACACGTGTGGATCAGAACACGTGTGGATCAGAACATGTGTGGACCAGGACACCTGTGGACCAGAACACGTGTGGACAGCTGCAGAAGTCAGGAGTTCCAGGATTCACCTGTCTGGTTTATGGACCTTTACACATTAAAGACACTTCAAAGTAATGATTTATTTTTATTTGTTCAATTTTTTTCTTTTTGTTACGTTTGTCAGTTAAAGTTATTTCAGTGATCTTTGTGGGTTTTTCTAATCAGAACTTTTTGACCCGTTTCCACACCTGAAGGACTGTGGACCTCTTACCAGAAGAATTGGTGACTTTAATGGTTTTATACGTTCTAGAGTAGTAAAACTGTTTAAATTTAAGTTGGCGTCTGGTTTTATACACCCGGTTAGTCCTGTTCAGGTGTGGGGGCGGGGCCTCTGCAGCCTCTGAGCAGGTCGCCGGTCCGATTTGACCGGGCTGACGGAGAGAAAAGTTCTGGCTCAGTGGAAAGATCCGGATTATTAAACCCGACTTCCTGTTAAAATCCTTCTCGTCTCTCTGTTCGTCCACAGATGAAGTTACTGAACTTGTACATCAAACGGGCCCAAACCACCAACAGCAACAGCAGCAGCTCCTCAGATGTTTCCTCCCACAGTTAACGCACCGAGGGCTGCTGGGGTTACCGGTACCGAGGGGTCCAAACCCGGCTGCTGCTGCTGGTTTCACCGGACGTGTTCGCCTCCACGTGACTCCAGCTCTGCCGTCGTTCCCTCCTGAGGTGGACCCGTTCTCCCGTCTGTCCCATAGTTTCTCCACCCTTCACGTCTCCTCGCTGTGGAACCCGTCGGACCTCGCTTTGAGTTTGTTCTTACCTGGAGGAGGGGGAGGAGGTGCTGGGTCTGTCCGGTGACACCGTGAAGTATTCCCACCCCGGGGGAGATCAGCAGCCCAGTGATGGTAAGAAGACCACAGCTCTGGGATCAGAACTGTTCCTGGGAGTTTGGACTGGAGCGGACCGACCACGGCTCGCTGCAGCCGCGCTTTGATTGTCTTTTTTTATTTTTTGTTCAACAAAGTGGCTGAAAACATGAAACCATGAACTGATGGCTCCTCCAGACTTCCTGTAGATGTTTGACTTAGTATAAGACTAAGATAAGTCTTAAAATAGTCTTAACAAAAATGTACAATCAGCTGAGCGGAGAGCTCGGACTGAGCATGCTCAGTGTCTCCACGAGAGACGGATCTTATTTATGGACGCTTCGATCAAAAAGGTTTGTAGATTCATGCTCACAGATGATTCCAGGGTTTACAAACGTTAAATGTGCCGAATGAATTTACCAAAAAAACAAAAACGGGGAGTGAATAAGACGCCGGAGGGATTAACTGCAGAGGAAGATGTTTGTTTCTCCAGATTAAACCAGATTAAACTGTTTTTAATCTCCTTGTAGCCGAGGATTATGGAAGATTTTTTTTTACTGCAAAAAGACCTGAAATGGTTTTTATCACACGGCATCCTTCAGCCCTTCACAATAAGAGCCTCAAACATGCTGAGTGTTGACCTCTAAATCCTCTTGGATCAGCTAAATTTTCAAAAAGAGCTAAAATTATTCTCCGGTAAAAGTCATCCTGCAGCCAAACTGTTGGGGTTTTAAAGAAGTTAGTTGTTTCAGATCTGGATTAAATTACAATGTTTCTGATCAAATCATTTTAGTTGTATTTAAAAAGTCACAAATACCGTAGGACTTTGTACCAATAAATGTTTTTATTCTTCCAAAAACAACTTTATTTCTGATGTTTTGACTTCTTTACATTAGGAAGGACAGAAAACTTTTCTAGTCAAAATAAAAAATTTCTGCAGCAGTAGTTCTGGTCCTTGAAGCTGATTGGACGGTGACTAATCAAACCGTCCAATCAGCTGGTTTCTGCTGCTTCACCTGAAAGCTGAATAGAACGATTTTAATTTTAACGGTTTGAATGTTTTTGTGACACGTTTAATGCGTTAAAAGTTGAGAAAAGTCATTAAAACTCATCGATTTATTTTAGCTTCTCACTGTGAAGTCATGAAGACTGGACCAAACAACAAGTTCATAAAGTGAAAGAAAAATCCACATCGTGTTTCTCATATTTATGATTAATGTGATCCTAAATCAAATGTTTCTATGCAGAATTTGTGACCGACTGCAAACGACCACATACATTAACTTACCAGATGTGTTTACATCGAGCGCAGAACTTAAAATCAATTTATCAGAAAAACTACCGGAGTAAATTCTTTCAGTCAGCACTGTTCGATCCGGTTCAGGCTCAACCGTTGAGGTTTGGCTCCATGGTTCCAGGGAAGAAGCGATTCCAGAGTTTGTTAGATTTAAAGTAGGTCAGAATCTTTTTGGCTCCAAATGGACCTCCTGTCCAGCTTGTGGTCGTACACTGGGACCATAAGGAGTAACGGGGATGTAACGTCATTTTGGATCTATAACTATCACTCTGTGTTCTGGTTTTGTAACTGTCTGTCATTCTGGGTTCCGTAACGGGGATGTTATGATCACTCTGGGTTCTGTAACAACCATTCTTGGTTCTGTAACAGTCATTTTGGGTTCAGGAAAGGGGTCATTCTGGTCACTTTTGGTTCTGAAATGGTAACTGGGTTCTGTAACGGTTCCTCTCGGTACTGTAACAGTCATTCTGGGTTCTGTAATGGCCAGTCTGGGTTCTGTAATGTAACGATCATTCTTGGTTCTGTAACTATCATTTTGTGTTCCATAATGGGGACATCATGGTCTCTTTTGGTTCTGTAACAGTCTCTGGGTTCTATAACGACGATGTAACAGTCCCTCCAGGTTCTGTAATGTTCACTCTGTGTTCTGTAACAGTAATTTTTGGTTACGTAATGGGGATGTTATGGTCACTTTTGGTTCTGTAACAGTCATGTAACAGTCCCTCTGGGTTCTGCATCGATCACTTGGTTCTGTAACTGCAATGTAACAGTCCCTCTCGGTTCTGTAATGATCACTCTGGGTTCT